GTGGAGGTTTCATAGTCTGCATTATTAAATTGGGATGTAACTTTTGCTGAATTAATGAAAAATCACGTTGTCTCAAGAGTTATCAGGACATGTCTCTCATATGAAACTTTCAGATGCTAAAACTCGGACTACATTTTGTGGACGACTTGTTTCAATTTTAATCCCAGTACTTTATAGTACTGATCGAGCACACTGCTGGTACTAAAACACTTGTTTGCATGTTAAAAAGATATGCAGCAAAACAAATAAAATTAAAAATAAAAATAAACTGCAAAGACCAAAGAGACAAGTGAACACTGGCCATCTGGAGGGGAGGGTGTTGCAGATCTGAGATTTTTATGCTGTGTTGACTAAAATGTTATGATCACAACATTTCAATCATTTCTCAAACTGCTGCAACCTAAAATTAATCTTTTTCTTGTAATAAAGCTGCATAATTTATTTATGTCTGGAAAAAATGCGTAGCTTTTATTCTCACAAAGCAACAAATACAAAAGTTTATTAAAACCTTGCTTAAAGTGACAATGTGTATTTTCACTGGCGATAGGGGGCAGTAAACCATTGCAAACAGGTGGTATTTTTGTGTTTGAGTAGGACCTTACCAACAGATGGCCATAAGGGTCAAAAATCCCTGGGAACTCAATTTTTGAAAAAGTGCTTCGTCAGAACATTCAACATCCAGCAAAAATGACACATCAGACTCCTTTCATCACTGGAAACGAGTGGAGGTAAATATGTAAAACAGCAATTTTTACGAACGGTGAAAGTTTGGTAACCGTTTGTTACAAATTTTTAAATACATTTTGTCCTCACGGGCTCCCGCAGAAAGAAACATGGCGTCTAATATGGCGTCGCCCAGATACTTAGACCCGATCCCAATTCTTGCACTTCCACACTTGCGCCCATCTATTGCACAATCCCGGCCAGGGGTGCGAGCGTGTGGGGTGTCCCGATTCTCAAGTGGGGAAGTTGATCATGATCCTTTTGCACCCTTGAGCTGCACTTCAGTGTATTACCCACAATCCATTGCTGCGGGAGAAAAGGCCTTTTCTGAAAACATGCATTTTCTAATGAAAGTAATTCATTTTAGGACTCTTATTTGAAGCTCTGAATGTTTTAGACAAAGCAGCAATCAATGTAAATTAATTTGAAATAATTGTTTGGTTGTTTGTTTGAAAGTTGTTAATAAAGGTTTTTAAAAGAAGTAGCACCGACCAGCATCCCAGCATGAGTTGTGGTCGATGACGCAACGCTCCCTGTCCCAATTCAACAATTATTTGTACAATTGTGTGCAACGCACTGGAAGCCTTACTGTGCACTTCCTCCAAGTGCACAGGATTGCAGGGGACAGTGAGAATATTGGGATTGGGCCTTAGACCCGCTCCCATGTCATTTAGACCTGAATTTTATAGTTATATATTAAGAAGCCGCCAATATTTTTCAACAACTAGGCATCATTTCATTATTTTCAACAACACATCTATGGTTATTTCCAGAGATTAATGGTAAAAACTGCACATTGCCTCATTTATAAATCATGTTACCATAAAAAATGCATTAGGGTTACATCCATAATAGTCAGTTATTACTGTCAATACAACAAAATCTCTGCACTCAGTTTAGCCTCGTCCTGTGGGACCCCATGTGGTCAAATGGCTGTGGGCGTGTTTAGATTTAATCCCATAAAAACCAGCCCCCACCCCAATAGCGCTGTCCATTAATCAATACAGTAATAGTGCTGACTGCAGCTATCTTGGTTATCAAAGTGCTGGGAGGGCTAAATAGGGAGGGATGACCCTGGCTGAACATGCCGCTGCTGCTTTCTGAAACAGACCTTCTCCTTGACGTGTGGCACTGATTGCTAATGAGCTCTTGAACAGAGATGCAACTGTAGCAGAAAATCTTTACAGGTAGCCATTTTGCAGGGTTTTCATCCTTTTTATTGTGTTTTTTTCCTCCCTCGACTGTTTTGTTCTGTGCACAGGCACTCTCAGTTGGCCTCCTGCCCATGCAGCCATTATGACATGTTTAGCATTTCCTGGTTTGTGGAGATTTTCGTGCTGTCTCAAATCGAAAGCGCTCAGCAAACAAACAACGTGCTGTGATAGTGAGAATAAGTAGGAGGCCAGCCTTTTGAAAACAGATTCAGCAGCAAACATGATAGTTTGGGTGTATTCTAGAGCAGAGAGCACTTAGTCTGTAAAAGCACCATCAAAGCTCAGCGTAAGAAAGCAGGTCTATGAGGAATATAATCAGAATTTCCCCTTTACTCAAAGCATTTGTTGCATTATGATAGAAAGTACAAGGAAACTGAACTGTTGAGCTTCTAAAATTTGATTTCAAGCAAACATGTAAAAACATCAGTTCAGGTAGGCCATGTCTGCGTCCTGCATCTCCCTCATGTGTCTCCTTGTGTTCTCCATCCCTCTCCAGGTTTTCCTTATGTGTCTCCTTGTCTGCATCCCTCCTCATGAGCCTCCTTGTGGTCCCCAGGCCACTCCAGGTTTTTTCCCCTTAGGTGTTCCCCCCAGGTTTCAGCGTCACTATGTGTCCCTAACCCCCTCCAGGCTCTCTAGGTTTCCCTTACGTTTTTCCTTAGACAGCTTTTATCATTAGTCTTCTGTTAAATGTTTTATCTAGTCTGTTTTCTCCCTTTAGTTCATTTTGCTCCCTTCCCCATTTTTAGGTCTGGTTTCCTCCCCTGCTCCGTTGTGCTCCTCCTCTGTTTATTGGTCTCACCTGTGCATAATTCCCTAATCACCCAGCCCTTGTGTATATAACCCTGTCTGCGTCTCAGTGTGGTTGTTGGTCCATTGTTTGTGTCAGCGTTATCTCGCACCCCTCTCTTGGTCTCCAGGATTTTTTTTTTGGATATCTCCAGGTCTGCTCTTTAAGAGAGCACTTTGTCTCTAGGTTTCTTGGTTTTCATACTAGGATTTTTGGATTTTTGGTTTTGGCTTCCTCCCCCATTGGATTTTCTTTTGGACAATCACTCCTAATAAAGGATTTTTATGTTTATTTCAACTCCTGCCTCGTTGTCTCCCTGGTTCTCCATCTTGGGTCCTAACCTCCCCCCTACTCGCAGCGTGACAGGCCACTAACACAATATTTTTAAATCTTGAAATAAAGCGTTTGTTGCCATTTTGCATTTATTTTAAACATGAATATATGTGCTGTTACTGAATCATCGTTATTGTGGATCAAAGATTTTTACACAACAATGAAATTTGGTTTCGAGTTCTCTTTCTCACGTCTTATAACAAGGAAATACATGAAGCACAAAGGGAACAATATAAGCATCGTCTTTTCTGTTAATGCACAGGTGCTGCACCAGAAACTGGTTCATGGAGCCAGATCACATGAGAAGAACTCAGAGTTTCACTGCAAAAAAAAAAAAAAAAAAAAAAAAAAAGAATGTCTATCTGGTGATGATGATAGTCAGAGGCAGAAATCCTAAACTGATTTAAAAAAAATCATAAAGAGCAAGTTGTGATGAACAGTTCTATTTAAAAAAACGTTTTCTACTGAAAATTATAATCTGTATCTCCAGATAAAAAAAAAAGAAAAGTAGCAGCAGTTCAAAGGTTGGTTAAATGGAAAATAAACTGCTGTTAAAAAAAACGATCAGATGGGTTATTTTCACCAAAGGCAAAAAGAACTCAATTCAATTCAAATCAATTAAAAATACTTTATTAATCCCAGAGGGAAATTGATTAAACATTGTTTAAGGGATGAGCAGAAACAAATTAGAGCTGGGAGGTCCAGGTTTGAATTAAAAATTAAGAGTCAAAGGAAGGACACTAAAGGACCCGCGTCCTACCAATGCACAGGGTTAGGACACAGGTCTGGTGAGGACAGTAAAACAATCACAGAGACAAAAAATATCACATTTCAAGTTAAAGTTAAAAGAAAACCCAAATTTCAACTCAAAACTGACATCAAAAACCTAAAGATTTGACTTGAACTTGCTGCTAAAGTAAAAAGTAAAGAGAGAAAGTTTCAGAAATTATTCTTTGGTTGGGTTTAACAGCTCACTGATTAAGATTAGCCTGTAGGCACGGCTGTTAAAGTAAACTAACCTGCCACAAGACTCCTGAAAACATCACCTGTTTCTTTATAACTGCTGACGTTAGTTTATTGTCTCGACAGTCACACTAACAGCTGCTCAGTCCCACTCCAGCAGAGCAGAGATCAGCTAAAAGCGTCGCACCCTCTCCCTCCTGTCTCCTCGTTTTTCCCTCATTGTTTGACTTTTTCTCTCAGGACTCATCTCTAACTGTCTCTCCTCAGTGTTAACTTCCTGTCCAGGTCTTTGCTGGACTTTTTCACACAGCCAGCATTACCAGACAGTCTATAAACAGCTCCAATGCTCTTTTCCTTTCCTCCTATTTCTGGGTCCTGTTGCGGCTCTACATCTATAAATGTAGATAACTCTTAGAACTACAAAGTGCTTTCTGATGAAGAAAAAAAATGAATAAGAAATTTATCAAAGTGCATAATATTTCTTTAATCAAAATTTTGTTTTCCTATGTGCTCAGGCCTGTAATAAAGTTTTTAGTCCCTTCTGTATCTCAGATTCATTCCAGATCCCTGCTGTTGTAAAAATAGTCACAGCTTTCAAGTTTAGAGCAAGAAAACAACTCTCAGTTTAATTTATCTGATGACCTTTTGACTTTCGAGGTTGTGACTAACTGTTTTCCCACTGCCGCCCAGTCCTTTGAGCACCTGCAGCACTGAGATGCAGGAGCAGGAGGAGGTTGGGGCCGTGTGAACTCTGCAGATAAAACACTCAGCTGTCTTTTTGCCCTCTCTCCTTCTGTTCAGTAGCCTCCAAGTATCCTAACAACCTTGCCTGGTATTTTGGCTCAAGTCCCCTGACTGTTGATGTCAGCTGAGTGAGAGGAGGGAGGCACTGAGGGGAGGAGGAATGGAGGGCCTGTAGCAGAGATGGTAGGGGGGGAGGAGTGAGCGGGCTATTCAAGGCACTTGTCCTCTGTCTCCCTCTGAGTACAGAGAAGGGGGGAGGCGCACATGCATTGAGAGAAACACACTTGCACACACACACACACATAGTAGTAGCAGCCGCATTTTCACAGTCTGCTCTTCAGACTGACAGCAGCAAACGGAGCTGAGAGGCAGCGTGAAGCAGAAAGAGAGCTGGAAACAAGGAGACTTTAACAGGATTTGCTGCTTTTCCCTCTCTTTCAGCGCTCTGGGAGCTCTAACGGGAATCTCCCCTGTGCTCCTCTTGAATTGAACTTGCTCTGCTGGAGAACCTGCTCTCTGCTATGGCAGCCCAGATGGGACATGGAAACACTTTCCCCTTCTCTTTTCATCTCTGGACTTTCTTCTCCATGACTCTGATAACTCTTTTAACTCAGGTTCGCTGCTTCAACCTGGATACTACCCACACCCTTCATAAGTTAGGAGACCGCTACACCTTTTTTGGGTTTTCTGTAGCACTTCACCAGCAGCTTAACCCAGAGTCCCAGAGCTGGTGAGTGGATCTATGGGTCTCAGAGTCTTTGATTCTCCGTTTAACTGTGATTTCTGTTATCAACACATGCATTTTGCTCTGAAATGTGAGGTTGTGCTGTACAGTCAGCACTTCTATGCTGCATCAGTACCCGATTTGCCAAATCAATGCAGTTCCAGCAGCCTGATCACAGAGTTAGAGTGCTTAGATGAGAAAGGTTGGGGAAAAAACACCCCCAATGAACAGCTTTTGATTGATCGTTAACCATTTTGAAATAGGTTTTCTTGACACAGGTGCTGCCTGTCAGCCACCCTGGATGGATTTTGATGTGTCTGCTCAGTTTGCTCTCAGCTTCTGTTTTAATGGGTCTTTCTGCTTGGCTGGAAATAGACTCTGGTCATGTCCTCCAGAAAGCATGAATAAATTATGACAACAAGCCCGCTTAGGAATTTTAAAAAAATGTTTGCTGCAGGACAGTAAATAAGAGGCAGCTCCCCTGACACCGATGACATTGATATTGATAGAATGGATGCAGAACTCCCTCTGAGGGTGCAAAAAATGTTTATTTATCAGCAAATTTAGGCATCGGTCATCAAAGTTAAGAAATTGTGGTGTCATGTAAATGCATAGTGTCATAAAATGGAAGCGGTGTTTATGTAAAACACAACGGTTTAGAATAAGGGAGTTAATGTCCAATAGGCTCCTGTTTTAGTGCTCCATATATAACTGCTGGCTCCTCAGTTTACTGTGCCGGAGTCGTCCTGACGCCTGGTGAGACAGAGGGAATGACATCAGACAGAGTCATGTCACCGTTCCCAGCAGCACTCGCCTAACTTACTGACTTTAATAATAAAGTATTGCATGGCTCATCGCCGTAAGCAAGAGGGATGACTCCTGAGAGATCTGCAGTGTTTGTGCCAGGAAGATGGTCAGTAAATGCCTGAAGTGAATAGCTGATGTGATGTTGCGCCAAATGGAGAAGAGCAGAATGAATAATGCTCTCTTTTTGTAAATTCTGACATCAACTTTATGTTTCAGTAACTAAATGAAAGTGATGAAAGATGGTTGTAGAGTTGGGATTTTAGATACTGTTTCATCATCTGTAACCAGCTTTGATTAAATAACACAAACCAACCAGTTATCAGAGAAATTAGTTGGAAAATTTTGCCTGTTTTAGTCAATGAAGGGATTAATGTAAGGGAGCTAATGGAAGCTATGAAATCATGGCCTGATGGTGACCTGGCTTTGTTGCTACTGGACTAATAAGAAATTTTATTTTGGGTAACATATTGATACTTTAGCTATTCATTTCAGTAACGTCATGAAAACACTTGTCTCAGCCTCTCTTTTCAACTTCAGATAAATGCATTCTCATGCTCTAAAGGATCTAAATCGTCACAAAAACACTACTTGTTAATGCTTAAACTCTGCCTTCAGAAGAGGGGCCCACAGGGGTCAGGACTGCTTTCATGCTGGCACCAGCCCACGCTGGGCACCCCCTAGAGCCGCCCCTGTTGAAATGGCAATATTTAGCAAGTCTATCAAAGTTTATGTAGAGTGAGCAGTAGCATTCATGTTTTTGCACACCTGACCTGATAAAGATCCTGATTTTTCATTTTTCTCTCTTTAAAGACTTTGAGCAAAAATCCAACTTTTAAAATTCAGATTTTTTTTGTTGCCACATTTAACTTTAGTGAGCTCTGCACTTTCTCGTATCTGTCCTGCTAAATATCTATTGACTTGTAAAAGTCTACATCTGACAGGCCACATTTTACAGAAACAGCTCAAAAGGCTTAAAGTACCATAATGAAATGGCAAACACTTTAAACTTTATTCTTCTCGTTTCCATTTAGGACTACTATCTTTAGCTTTTAAATCAGTTAAGAGCTCATTTAGATTATTTCTTAATTTTTGGGGATCACCTTAAGACCCATTTTAGTGTTTTGTGAGCCACAGCGTGGATCTGGCCCCATCTTTTGAAAACATATGCTTTACCTGACTGTTAAACTATTATCAAAGAAAAGCAAAAATGTTTTAAGTTTAAAAGGTCAATATTTTGTCTTTTCTGTCTCAATTTCTCATTCAATTTTTACTTTCTTCTAAACACTTTATTTTGAACAACCATATGAGAAAATAAAAGCCTAACAAATGGTTGATAATAATTTAAATTGTAAAAATGTATTTGACCATTAGAGCATTTTTTAAAATTCAGATGACTACTTTATTAGTTGTGTGTCAAGCACAGTTCCCAGAGGCACCCCTGATATAATCTGCCTGCCTGTTAAAAGTAAATGAAAAATTGTTTATTGTGTCATTTTCAAAATTTGCCTAAAACTGCTTAAACTCCATAATTTCTCCAAACTATTACAACTATGGCTGTAAAGCTGGCAACATGCATTCCTCCTTCAGTTGAGATAAAGTTATTTTAATTCATGCTCGTGGCTCTTTGTGTAGCTGCAGGTATCATTTTGCGTGTCTGATGAACCATCCTGCAACTATCTGCCTGAAACTTCAATGCTCCTGACTCTTTTTCCCCTCCTTTTGTACCTCACGTTTTTGTTACTGCTGCCTGTGGCCATTCTGTTTCATGCACATTGTGTTTTTATGCTACCTGATTCGGTCGAGAATATGATATTGCTGCTTTGATGCTCTGTTCGGCGCTTATTCATGATTGGATCTCGCAGCTCGTGATCTACACACCAACAGAGGCCAGTTTAGTCATGTTGCCATCCCAGAACAGTTTAGTAAAACACAACAAAATGTAAAAATTCTGGTTTATATGTGTGTGTGGCCTCAGACGTGACAGCCTTTTTTTAGTATGACAACAAGGGTCAAGGAAATGTGAAGCCAACACAGAGATCTTGTATTGAGTGTCACGTCTCGAGGAAGTAGAGGTATGCCACCCTCAGAGAGCCCCCGTCTGTCATCCCTGACCTGTAAACCTTTAACATTTTCTGTCTTGGTTGTTTTGAAGCAGAACACCCCCCACCCCCGAGCTTTAACTGACACGGCTTCATCGGCTGATGCCAGACTGAGGATAAGATGAGAGGGTATTTGAGTCTGAGTTATGTGTTTGTCAGCTATTTATAATGATGTGAGCAGTGCTTCCGCTTATAGTTCACAGACTTGAGGACAGGGAGCCTCCTGGGCCCGTATTGTTTCAAAAATTCAGCAGCTGTATGTTCATGCTAAAATGGTATTTAAAAATAAATGTGACACACACAAATTATAAAAATATAAGTTGTTAAGAAGTCCAGTGCAGTTTAATTGACCATTTTTTCCAATTTAAAGCTGAAAAAGCCAAAGAACCCATTAAAATTTTATTATGCAGTGTTGGATTTTTTTCTTCAACAAAATAAAAATGATAAAGCTGAAAGTTAATTGAATAAATTAGCAATTTGGCTCCCATCTGTGTGACATTTCTGTAAGTTAGCCCCGAATTCAACGTAACTGTTTCTTTTTTCAGAGTCAAGTGGGGAAGCTTTGCTCTGCTGCACCCAGTAGGCCACAGATCATCTGTTGAAAGATCTGTGACTGATCGGCTTTGATAACATCTATAGTACGTGTCTGCCCTGACCCAGTCAGCTCTTTTAGAGCTATGTTTAAGATATATCTAATAACTTTCCCCAACAGTTTATTTCTTTGGCCAGTTTGTTAGAAACTGTTTTTCCCTAAGCTGCCACAAATTGTTAATCATTCTTTCTCACAGATGATTTAATGAGCCTAAAATTGGTTGTGTTGCTTTCAAAAGGAAAAGCGGGAAGTCTTCAGTTACGTGATGTTTGTGTTTACATGTTGATTTGCTTTGGTGCTTTTGTGAGCTCTCTCTCAGGTTGCAAATGTAGGACATCGTGTCTCTAAACGAGAATCTAAAACAGAGATTTCTGAGGCTGAACAAATCTTCTCCTTAACTAAACACTTCTTTCAGAAGATGACTGGTGCGTGGTAGAAGTCTGGAGGACTTCCAAAACTTCAAAAGATGAGAAAAACAAAAGTGGTCAAAGCAGAGTTGATTTATCATTTACTAACTACAAAATCCTGCTCTGAAATATTCAAAATACTGAGGTATTTTAACTGTATTGACTATATTTACACTTTTCAAGGTAGCTGTAACTGAGTAGACTGTCAAGCCATGCAATATATGTAACTATACAGTCTGGGCACGACCCATAGACAGAGCTCAGTTGTCTTTTAAACTGTCTCTGCACACAACTGTACAGCGTTAGGACCATCAGACCAAAGAACAATGCGACAATTTATTGCTACAAAACCAACCAACAATCTGCCATACACAGCTGAATTAGTAGAAGATCTGCTCCTGTCTCAAAGAAAGGCCCAAGTCTAAATCGTCCAAAGTTGATGCCAAAGCCATTTCAAACAAGTGTCATTTCTGAGCTGCCGCCATCTTTGCTGCTGTTCACTGTCACAGCTCAGTTGTCACTGTAAAAAAAAAAACTCTGCTGTAATGATGCTAAGCCAGACCAAACCACCTGGCAGACATGGGAGGTGATCTGCAGGGTGTGTTCCAACTACAGGGAGATCACATTCCTGAGCCTCCCAGGGGCTCTGGAGAGGAGGGAACGCTGGCTTGTCGAACCTCAGATTCGTCCTGGCCGTGGAACACTGGATCAGTTCTATACCCTATAGAGGGATCCTGGAGGACACATGGGAGGTTGCCCAACCAGTACCCCATGGGGGATATTCCGAGACAATGGGGTACCAGCCCCCTTGATACGAGCTATTAGGTCTCTATATGACCGGTGCCAGAGCTTGGTCTGCATAGCAGTAAGTCAGGCTCTTTTAGATGGATGGATGGATGGATGGATGGATGGATGGATTGATGGGAATTGTGGTTGGTTGCATGAATTAACAGCTGGTTGGTGCTGTTGTGCTGCAGCAAGAAGATCTTGGTTTGATTCCCTGCTGGAGCCTTTCTTCACCTCGTTAGCACATTTTCCCTGCATGTGTGGATGTTATCCAGGTATTCTGGCTTCCTCGTGCAGGCTGAAAAGATTAAAGCT